ACTTTCATTCCCCTTTATCTTCATTTACTTTCTACTTCTTTCTTACTTCACGTAACCTACACAGCGCGGACTGCTAGTGCAGGGAACGTGGGCAGTAGTTGGTTGATCAGGGTGTGTTTCGGGTGTTTCGTTTTAGATCTATCAAGAACTAACACCTTATCATTTCCTGGCTCAACGATTTGCTCAAGAAGGAACACTCAAGGGATTTTCCTATCGTTCCAGTCCATCTGAATCTGAATCTGTCGCGGGCTCTGTGAGTACTACGCAGGAACTCGATTTTTTGGCGTGCCATACTGATCGTGCTTTTTAGCTGAAATAACATGGAAAACAATGTTTAAATAAACATTTGAGACGAAATTTAACTTGTCAAATTTTCTGTGATCCAAGATATCTTGGATTGATTAAAGTGGTACTGGCCAAAGCGTCTTTGGCGCTTACTGGTAATTTTTCCGGTTGTTCCCAGTTTTAATCCCGTTTTTCACCCTGTTTTTGCCATTTTATTGCGGTCGTTTTGCTTTTGTATACGTGTTGTAATTCTACTCTGTTTTCCACATGGATATCGGCGGTGTGCATCTTAAAGCCACATCCCAGGAACGCGACCTGGGGACCAGAATATCCGCCGACCTGAGCCCGAGCGCCAATGTAGCTACACTGGCGCGAAAGGCTAGCGTTCGCCTGGCCCTCCTTAGACGTGCACTAGGGTCTTTCCCTAGAGAGACATTTGTCCGTCTCTATAGCACTGGTACGTCCGCTGCTGGAGTACAACATACTTGTCCAGCCGCCGTACCTGAAGAAGGACGAGGCCATGCTGGAAAGTGTACAGCGCAGAGCCACTAAGAGAGTGGACGGACTATCCCACTTCTCGTATGAGGAGCGTCTGGCGGCCCTTAACCTCTTTCCGTTGAAATATCGCAGGCTTCGTGGCGACCTTAGCTTATATATATATATATATATATATATATATATATATATATATATATATATATGCAACAGTCTATGAATAGACATTGCACCATCGGAAACCATGGAACTCAAAACAAGGTACAAAAATAGTAAAAGAAAACACAACACAACACAACAATGTCCACGGTTTCGTCAGAGGGCGAAATACTACCCGGTTGCCCAAGCCGAAGTAGGGCGACCTTAGCTTATTCCGTCCTGACTAATAACAGGCACCCAAACGCAGGATTGCTGGTCCGCGCCCGTACAGATCATCTTCGAGGGTACTCACTCAAACTGATGACTTCTGTGCCGAAGAAACAGTTTCAGTGTGCGTATTGCCTTCGCTTGGAACGCCCTGAAGTTGTTTTCTCAGCGCCCAATACGGAGGCCTTCAAACAGCGCCTAGACGCTTGGCTCTTACCTCGCTGGTCTTCCACGTTGCTAAGATCTGGCCATTTGCCAAGCTAGCACGCGGCGCTTCTACCATTTTGCTTCTATCCAACCTTGCCGAATTTACCTACACCACTCTCTTGTTCCAGGTATCCACGTTCCCACAGTCAACTCGCTGAATACTTGTGCTGAACACCACTACTGCGTCGAGACCCACAACATCTGGTACCTACCGACGAGATCAGGACCTTGCCGTAAGATCCCGAGGCAGAACCACCGAAAAGCTACGCTTACTCGTTCTGCGCAAACCCGTGAAACCCGTGAAATATGGCTGTCTCGCTAAACACCGAGACGAATAGACCTATGGGGCAGATCTACATGCATCAGTTCGTGGACCTCCCCACTAGGTACATGGACGCCCAACTTCTGTCTATTTTGGATCTAGTGTTTGCCAAGTCACTAGACTTCGTAGGTGCTAGTGATCATGTTTGTTTATCGTTCAGGTAAACTCTGACTAGGCGTCACCAGAGCATTGCTAAGCCATTTCCAAACATATGGCGTGCTAACTATCAGGCAATGTGCATCAAGGCTGTTGGGATGAGTTGCGAAATCTCGATGGTTGATACGGTTCATGCGGCCTTGGATAAACTTAAATCTTTTCTCACGGAAGTGTCTACTCCCTACATCCCGCTTGCGAGGAGAAAGGAGACACGAGTGCGTG